GGGAAATGAGGCTTGTTAGGCATGTCTCGTAGACACGTCAGTATCTGCTTGAATCACATAGCAACCCTGTTAGCTGGTTGTTGGCAGATTATGGTTTTGGAGTCTTGTGATAAAATTAGGCATGGGTAATCAAAGTTCTGCCTTCACACTTTACAGCCAGGTCAATCATTAAGAGTTTTCTGTTTTGCAGATAAAATGATCTCTAGTTCCTTTCCAACTGTAAATCCTCTAAACCCTCCTGGTTCAAATGAGACCAAAAAAAAAAAAAACCAAAGCCACTGCCGTCGAGTTGATTCTGACTCATAGCAACCCTATAGACAGAGTAGAACTGCCCCATAGGGTTTCCAAGGATGTAAACCTTTGCAGAAGCACACTGCCGTGTCTTTCTCCCGAGGAGCGGCTGGTGGGTTCGAACTTTAACCGCTGCACCACTAGGACTCCTTCAAATGAGGCAGAGAGGTGTGGATTTTACCTGCCAACCTTTTGGTCAGCAGCCGTAGCTCTTACCCACTACGCCGCCAGGGTTTCCGTATATTGGTTAGTGACTCGGAAACTGCCTAGATCGATGAATCGTATTTCTTTCATAAGGAACTAGAGGTCGTCTTGTCCTTAGAGTATAATTCTCTACTTAGCAGCTAGCTTACCTTGCCAACCACCATGAGCAGCAGCTACCCTGGAAACCATTTACTAGTCGGTACCTCCGGACCAAGGCAGTCAGTCTTTGTTGGGTAAGTTATCTGAGTTGCCCCTCTCAGACAGACTCACTGATGGCAACACGTCTATGAATTCATACATAAGCCCTTTGAGATTTCGCCCTTTATGTTCTCCTAATGACTCTTTGAGACAAAGTTAAAGATCACAAACCTTAACTTGAACTGACTGGTGTCATGGCAACTAGCACTTCACCTTTTGCTGGTCCCCACCTCATACTTGCTACAATATTTGTGCACATTAATAATTCATTACAAAGTGCCAGATTTCTTTGTGCTGTCAGACTGTGTCAAGGACCGACTATGCTGTGCTAGCTCAAATGTCATCTACCAGACTGTTGAGGGCAAGAGTAATTAGAAAGGAAAACTCATCTGGTTTCTTGAGAAAGTTCCTGAAAACGTGATGCTTTCTAGCCACCCATTTATAGCATTTTTCTTGTAAAGTAAGGAATAGAATTAGTGTTGATCAAAGTTTATCTGATAATGTGCCCCGGACATAAGTCAGGAGTGGACTGTGGAAATAACACACCAACGATAATTGCTCGCCTCCATTCAGGCAGTGAAGGAAATGATTAATCGCCTTGGTGCTCACTCACATGTATTAGGCACCAGCGTGAAACCTGAGCACAGGTTAAAAAGGACGCTGAGTGGTCCTGATGCGAACACTCTTATCCCAGGCTTATCTTTGCCTGGCGCACATTAGGAGCTCAGTGAGTATTTGACGTGAGCTTCAGAAGCCAGCCAGTCTGGGTTGCAAGGCTGACTGTGTGCCTTGGATAGCTTACTTCACCTCACAGTTCCTCAACAGCTCGGGTGTTGTTGTCAACATTGTTAATAGTTGTTGTAGTGATTGTAGTATCACCTGTACTGATGAGCCTTTCCAGGTTAAGAACACAGCCCTTTGTCTTGGAATGTAGAAAATGTACTGACACGTTGGAGATTGTTTATAGAAGGCCAAGTGTGCCCTTGGTTAAGCAAAGAAAGTACATATTTTAAATGAAACTTTTCCCTTCCACTACCTTTTTGTTTTTTTTTTTTTAAACTGCTTCCACCCCCTCGAAAGAAAGCTTCATATTAAAACAAACAAACCTGTTTCACACTTCACTAGCTACTTAAGGTGAAACCTATTTCCCTGAAAATATGTTTACCACCCCCGGTTGCCAAAGGTCTTAGTCACAAAACCATGTTTAGATTCTTTTGTTTCTCTTTTTCTTTTTTTCCTTTAAAAACAAAACCAGTAGCTTCACTGCCCTCTGAACCACTTTTTTTGGGGGGAGAGTTGGCAAAGCAGCCCCAAATCACATTTTTTACATTATGCAGACGTAGTTCCCTGCTGTGTGAAGGATAAACTGGAACTGTCTAATGTTTGGTGTACCGATCTAACACAAGTCAGTGCTGGTAAGTATCAGTTCTGCTTCGAGACAGGAATGGGGTCAGCTCCTGTGTTACCCATCATTGTACGGCCAGATCTTAGCGCACCAACTGCAGGTAGTGGGTGTTCAAGAAATATTTGTTGAATAAGTTAGTACCGTCAGACTAATTTCAGATGGGGTGTGTGTGACATTAATCCGTTTCAGAACCTTTGCAACAAATTAAGCTAAAAAAATGGTTAGGAACTTGTTGATCTTCTATCACCTACCTTTCTGTGGTGCTGGCGATCTGGCCTAGCCATTTAACACTGCAGGCAAGAACATAGCACGTGGAGTCATCAGCGCCAGCCCACTCTGGTGCCTGCATGTTTCTGATCAGCGCGGACGCTGGCATTTCGAGGAGCACATGCAGCTGACATGAGTCAGATTTGTCAGGTATTCTCAGTGGTTTTTTATACTGTGTGTGATTTCTTAGGATTTCATATCGAGTCTTATACTTACCTGTATGAAGAATTATATATATATATAAAATGTATATACATTGGAGCCCTGGTGGCACAGTGGTTAAGAGCTCAGCTGCTAACCAAGAGGTCGGCAGTTCGAATCCACCAGCCACTCCCTGGAAACCCTATGGGGCAGTTCTACTCTGTCCTATAGGGTTTCTACGAGTCAGAATTGACTCGACGGCAATGGGTTTGGTTTTGGTTTATAGATATGTATGTATGTATATATATACATATATATATATTTATATTTATATATACGAGCTATGGCTGCTAACCAAAAGGTCG